AAATTTTAGAAAAAATTCAATATAAGGAAAAGATAATTTTATAATTCATATGATATCAATATTTAGTTGCTTATTAAAAGAAACATATTTTATATATTTAAATAAATTTAATGAAGAAAATGAATTTTAAATTAATAAAATTTAAAATAAAGTTCTAAAAATTAATAATTTGTTTGATCAAAAAATATAAGAATGATTCCTATCAATTTTAAAAATTTAATCAATTAATGTAAAAATAATTTATAATTGATAAAATGAATTATATATATATCTATAATAAATTATCTTGGGGTTGGGGGAAAATTGTGCATATATTAAAAATTGAGGGATAGAAATGTACTTATGGTAAAAGTTGAAGGATTTAAAATTATACAAATTCCAATAAAGTTAACGGTAACAGAAGGACTATTACGGTATATTTTTCATAGCTTAGGGATCATAATTTAATAAATCAATTATGAGATGAAGAGTGTGCACACCCTTCAAATTTATGGGGCAAAATTTGGAGTTTAACCATTACTTATTTCTAATGAAAAACTTACTCAAAATGTCATAAAAGGAAATTGAACACTTCAATTAATATTTAATTTTTTTATAACAAATGTGTATTTACAATGTAATAATATCTGTATTAACTATTATATTTTTTTACATAAGTTATGTATAATATAATAAAAATAATAAGTAAAAAATAACATACTTCAAATTCATCCATGATAGAAACACAAACTATAATATACAAGAAAACATTAAAATATAACGAAGATAATGGGTGCAAACTAATGAGAAATAAAACTTACTCTTGAAATACAAATGAAGGGCGATTGGGGAATGCTACTTGCAAATTGCAGAAGTTTCTGTCACAGTATATAAATCATAATTTATCAAGTATAAAACAGAAATGGATTATTAACACAAAAGATAATGGATTTAAATTATAGGAATAAAAAGGGTAGAGAAAACTATAAGGAAACAATAGGAAGATGGTAGACTTACCTTACTGAATGAAAAGAATGAAAGCTTTTATTGTAAATAAACTTGAGAATTCTTAATTGGCTTCTCAGATTGTGGCAAAGTCAAGTAGAAAGATGGAGAGATGGGAGGAAATATGGCTATAATGTTTTAGGGGGAAGAATGGTGTAGAAAGCAAAGAATGCCTGAAACGTGCCCCTAAGACGATGCTAAAAGGATGAGTGTTTCAGCAACATAGTGAATGTTGTTGAAAAGTTGCATCACCAACATGGACTATGATGCAAAAAGGATGAGACTTTCAGCAACATAGTGAATGTTGCTGAAAAGTTGCATCACCAACATGGACTATGATGCAAAAAGGATGAGACTTTCAGCAACATAGTGAATGTTGCTGAAAAGTTGCATCACCAACATAAACTATGATGCAAAAAGGATGAGACTTTCAGCAACAATCACTCTGTTGCTGAAAGTTAATTGTATTGAAGAAAAAAATGCAAGCAGCAGTGGATGGACATGACGGTTGACTGAAGCACACTCCCCAAAATATAAGAATCGGATTCGGATTCTTTTGTGCAGGTGTGTTAAATCAATATTAATAGTAAAGAATACAATAGTTGAAGTAATATGTATCTGAATATAAAATTAGTAGTATAAATGATCTAATATATCTAATATAATGTAAATAAATGAAAATATTTTAGATATAAAATACAAGCTAAAATGAATGAAAAGTCATATACATTTATATACCATTAATAAATAAGTTAAATGTTAATTTTGGTTCTCAACTAAATGAGTTTGCATAATTTTAAAATTTTATACATGACATTTTATTTTAATATAATTGATGACATATAATTAAAGTAAGATTATTGTCACATTATAAATGGTTAATGTTAAACTTTTTTTAATATAATTACTTATTATATCATCACATTACATTATTTTAAATTGTATAATTTAT